TTGTTGTTATTGTTGTTATGTGCTGTCCAGTTGCTTGCGACTCATAGTGATCCTATGTACAAGAGCCCTAAACCCTGCTCTATCCTAGGCCAATCTCACCATCTCCAACACACTTACTCCCACCACCCCAATTACATAATTGATCCATCTCATTGACGGTCTTCCTCTCCTATGCTGTCCCTCCACTCTCCCAAACATGATGTCCCTCTCCAAGGACCAGTCCCTCCTTGAAAAATTCCCAAAGCATGTCAGATGAAGCTTCAGACTCCAAGGCTTCACCTTCTCCAGGACAAACCTGTTTGTTCTCCTAGCAGTTGATGGTATAGTCAACATTCTTCTCCAGGCACCACAGCTCAAAGGCATTAATTTTCTTTCTATCATCCCTAGTCACCGTCCAACTCTCCGATGCATAGCATGCAACTGTGAAGACTATAGCCTGATCAGGCTCACCCTAGTCTCCAGGCTGACAGCGCTGCTCTTCAGTACTCTGGAAAGGTCCCTGACAGCTGACTTTCTGGCTACTGACACCAAGAGTGTTGACTATGGAGCCAAATAAACTAAAACTGTTAACTATCTCAATCTCTTTACCATCCATACTGATGCTGCCAACTGGTTCAGTGGTGAGAATCTTTGTCTTCTTGATGTTGAGCTTCAATTCGTATTGAAGGCTGCAGTCCAAAGAGCACACTTTTTAACTACACTATGTCTGCGACTCGATGGCACTTAACAACAATGGCTGCTGGACACTTGTCCATCCCCTCATCATCATCGTGGTGCCTTGGACCCAGGGATTGGAGACCTCTTCATCTTGCCCTAAACATCACCATGCATATCGATGACTCCTGGAGACAAGCTGCTCAAACCAGCTATATCATAACAGAGGGAGGCTATGCATATGGAATTGCTGGGGCTAACACTATCCAGCAACAATTTTAAGTTGGACAACAAATAATTCCACAGCCTCCCCCTTAAATGTAACAACTTGTCTTCCCAATTTCTATTAATTTGTGCTTTTCAGTACCACTAACAATACTAAAGGAATCATCACTAATTGCCTCAAAAAGGGGGAGCATAACTTTACCTTTATATATATTGTTACAGTCCCGCCTTATGTTTGGCTCCCTGTGAACTCGTCCACCCCTTTGCACTCCCCTTCTACATTAAAGTCTTGACCCAGACAAAAAGAAGTATAGGCCTAAGCCTAATTATTGCTGGAATAACTTCTTTAGTTTTTCTTATGGCCACCGCCACAACCCCCACAGTCACACTAACAGGACAAGTAGCTACTGCTGCTGTCGTACAGAACTTGTCAGCCCTTTCATCGCAGGGCATGATGCAGACTGAGATGACCTTAGAACATATTCATCAAGGCCTCATGATGCTTCAGAAACAGCTTGACCTCCATTCTGAAATTCTACACACTCTAACACAAATGATCAGTGTCCCCTGTGATGGGACCATTCACCAGTACTGTCTGATGCCTTTTAAAGTTAATTTTACTCTTCTACAACAAAAATTGAATTGTAGCTTTAATCTAAGTATACTCATACCAAGTGGAATCTAAAATTTGCTTACAACTTTGTATGTCTTTCTGAAATAGCAATAGATGATAATAATGTTCGTGTTGATGCTACCGCTCCTGGATTTTTGCAAGGTTTTGCTGATCATGTTTTATCATTTCCCTGTAATGTGATAGTATGGGCTGTATTAATTGTACCAGGATTAGTAAGTGCATTAGTAATCAGAAGGCTCAAACAAAGAGTCTATTGCAAGAACAAAAAATTGTAACGTTGGATAATGTAGTAAAAGAAAAAGGGGAAGATGTAGATGAACACGTACAAGGAGGAAATGGACTCCGTGATAGCCCCAGCTTGGTGAGGGCCTATCTGGTTCACACAAGCCAGCAGAGCACACTTCCTTGCTAATAATAGCTGTTGCAGCACACCCGACAAGCTGTGTGTCCAAAACAGCCCCCAGAGGCTAGGGGCTAAGCAGAGCGTCCAAGACTTCCGTGATATATGTACTCTCCCTATCGGCAAGGTGCCCACATGTGACTAAAAGTTTAAATACCACTGCAGCTCTAATAATACTGAGTTGGCCCTCTGATGTGCTTCCAGAGAGGTGGGGTTTTTTTTTTATCCGTCACACCCACCATTGTCAGCAAGCTGCTGTCTTCACCGAGGCATGGAAAACGGCAGCACGGGTGAAGTTAGAAGAGGTAAGCCATACTCACTTTGTCTCTAGCTGCACTGTTGTTATACCTGATGTCAGAATGGAGGAGACTTGCTGCAGTGGCTCCAGACTATAGAAAACAATGTATTTTTAAGAATATGACACTAGAGAAATGTATCGTTAAAATGGTTACTTGTGTTGTGCATCTCAGGGGGATAAAATGGCTTCCAGAGGGGCCTGAGACAAAAGACAGAGGCCCAAGGCCATATGTATATGATAAAAAATAGTAAGGGTAAAGAAGATGATATTGGAATTTTTAGAAAATTTTGATGTTGTTATGTGCTATCAAGTTGACTACTACTCCTAGTGATCCCATGCACTGAACAGGCGAACCTTGTCCTATCCTAAACCAGTCGCACTGATTCCTACCCTCATTACCCTAGTTACCATGTCAATCCATCTCATCCAGGGTCTTCTTGTGCTCTCCCTCTACCGTTCCAAGTGTGATGCCCACCTCCAAGGATTGGTCTCTCTTTGCAACATGCCAAAAGTATGTCAGATGAAGATTCAAAATCTTTGTCTCCAAGGAGCAACCTGGTTTCATTCTCTACAGGACAACCCAGTTTGTTCTCTTGGCAGTCCATGGAATGCTCAATACTCTTCTTCAGCCCCACAGCTAAAAAGCATCAATTTTTCTTCTGTTATTCTTAATTATTTTCCAGCTCTATGATACATAGAAAGTAACTGTGAAGATCATGGTACAGATCAGGTGCACCTCAGTCTCGAGACTGACAGCTTTGTTCTTTAGCACTCTGGAGAGGTCCCTCACAGCAGATTTTCTTAATGCAATTTGTCTTTTCACTTCTTGACTGCTGGTGCCAAGACTGCTGATTGTGGTTCCGAGCAAGTGGAAATTGTTAACAACCTCAATTTCTTCTCCATCTATCATAGTGCTGAGACTGGCCTAGAGATGACAATCTGTTTTGTTGAGGTTGAGCTTCAATCCATACTGAAGATTGAAGTCCTTGACCTTCTGCAACTGACACTTCAGGTTCTCCTCAGTTTCAATAAGCAAGGCAGTGTCATCTCCATAACGCAGATTGTTGATGAGTCTTCCTCCAATCCTGATGTTACATTCCTCCTCATAATGCTTAGCCTCCCGAATGATCTATTCTGCATATAGACAAAAAGTATGGAGACAGCACACACCCCTAACATACTCTTGTCTTGATTTTGAACCATGTAGTGTTTCCTTGCTCTGTTCTGATTACTACTTCCTGGTCCAGGTATAGATTTCTCAGGGGTTTTCTGGTATGAGTTAATAAGGTTTATGTGTCTCTCTGAACATACTGTTGTTGTTAGTTGCAGTTGGCCAAGTATGACTCATAGTGACCCTATGAACAATAGATCTGAAATCTGTACTTTTCTGTGCCATCATCATCTCCCAGATACTTGAGGCCACTGCTGCAGTCACTGTGTCAGACCATCTTGTTGAGGGTTGTCCTCTCTTTCTCTGTTCCTCCACCATTCCAAACATGATGTCCCTTCCCATGGAACAGCCTCTTTATAACTACATGCTCAAAGTATGTAACACTCAGCTTTGTCATATTTGCTGGCTGCACTTTCTCCATTATATATCAGCTTGCTCCTTTGGGGTATTCAGTACTCTTCTCCAACACCACAGCTCAAGGGGATCACTTCTCTTTCTGTCATCTTTATTCACTTTATTCTCAGATGCATATCAAGTAACTGAAAAGACCATGGTCTGAATCAGGGTTCCCTTAGTCTTCAAATGACATTATCGCTCCTCAGTAATATGAAGAAGTCTCTGACCAAAGACTTCCACAATGCAGTATGTCTCTTAATCACCTGACTACTGGCACCAAGCAAGACAAAACTGTTAGATACACGTAAGACAAAACTGTTGGAAATTTCAACATTTTCTACATCTCTCATGACGTTGTCTATCGGTCCAATGATAAGAAATTTTATCTTCTTGATGCTAGAAATGCAATCCATACTGAAGGCTGTAGTCCTTGTTTTGGGCAGTGTTTCATGTCGTCACTTTTTCTAAGTAAGGTTTTCTGCAAAATGAAGGTTATTAATAAGTCTTCCCTCATTACCAAGATTTTCAATAGCAATAGAAGGATAATGCTCATCTTTCTGGTGTGGAGGTGGTTAATGAGTTAATAGCACAATTTGCTAAGGACAATGCCACTAATTGTATGAAAGCAACCACATGAAAAATTAGATACTTAAAATGGGGGAAGAAAAAGGTATAAAGTAGCTGAGTTATATATTTCAATGTACTTTTATTTGTAAAATAATTGTGAAAAGAAGTATGAAGGTCAATGACTAGAAAAGCCAGCGGGTGCCTTGTTATGAAATAGCATCTTCTGGGTGGGTAATTATCCTGTCCAAAATTCATTCATTTAAAATAAATTCCTTGCTTGCATAAAACAGCAACTTATTTGTGTTATTCCTGCCTAAAGGGAGCTGCTCCCAATGGAAGTGAAAAAAAACAGAACTCTGAGTTGTTACTGAGACCTATAAAGTACATTATTGGGATAATGGGCAAAATCTGAATAGGCTTGTGGATTGCAAAGCCATATGACGCCTCTATTAATGTCCTGACCTTGGAAGTCACACTGACTATGTAGGTGAATGGACTCACACTCAGGACATATTCTGGGTGAATTGGATCATTCAATAACAAATGGTTCAGAAAGTCTAAAGAGTAGGTGAGAAAGACGAAGTTCTGAGTATTCTGCTATTTCCATATAAATCTGAAATAATTTTAAGATAAAAAGTTAAAGACAGCCTCTTACTTCTTTGGTTTTGGTCATTGTTTCTGCAATGATGCTGGCTGCTCCTGGATCATCTGTTACAGGAATGAATGGCCGGGAAGAAGCTGAAGTAGCAGAAGGGGTCACTGCAGAGGGTGTCACAGTATCTTCAGAAGAAATCATCTAGATTTTAAAAGTGAGTGACAGCATTAATAAGGTTCAGAACTTATTTTAATTCGTATTATATAATTATAGAAAATGGTGGAATGAAGCTTATGCTTTACACTCTGCTTAAATCTGTGCCTGTAAAATAACTAAGCTAAAGTTATAAACGGTCCTATGCAGGACCATTAAGTGTCCCCTCTATGACCTCAGACCCTACATGAATGTTACTGTAAGCAAGTACTCTGACTCAGTTGGTGGCCTCTATAGCCCAAGAAAGTAACAATGTTACAAATAAATTGGAGCCTGAACACTGTCTGTCTTCATGGACCAAATATTAGAAGTAGTGTGTCTTTTAAAAATATATAAATTATCTCTGCAGATAAGAGAAACCTAGTAACTGTAGACACCAAATAATTAAATGTTAAGTAGAGTAGTGGCTGATAAAGGTATAAAATCCCTGAAAGCATGGAAAAAGGCAAAAAGACAGTTTTGGAGAAATTATCTCATTGCCTTCCATATCCACTCAAGTCTATGAGAGAGAGCAATTTCATGTGAGTCATACACCTGCTTTGTGACTGTGGAAAGGAACCTTTGTTTGTTCAGTAACAAAACTATACAGATGGGGGAGAAGTGAAGTAGAAACAATTCAGCAACATGGTTTATTTCCTAAGTCTACAAATGTCTAATTTAAAACCATTTTGGGCCATTCAAAATGCTCTTGATTTTACAGAGGCAACACGGTGCCTAATCGTATCAGCTATTTCCTCAGTGGTTTCTAGGGCACTGTTGAGAAAACAGGTACAGTAATACAATCAGTAAAATCTTTGATATTCATAAGACTAAAAAAGCTACACATCTCTTCAAATCAGATTTTTAAAAAACCTTTTATTTCAGAACAACTGTAGAAATAAAAAGACTTACATTTAAAGACTTTACAAATAGTCTGTTTCTCCTGAACCATTCAAAAACATAAAAACTCTCTAGGTAAAAGAATTATCAAGATTTTCCAAAGGAAATGATGTTACCTTTTTCTTTCTGCTACAAAATTGCTTTTTATTTTAGAATTTGATTCTTTTACCTCTCCTCTCTTTTCTTGCCACAGATTTGGGCTCAATCTGTCTTCAAAATCAACAGCCAGCATACAATCCTCTCCACTCATGGGGCTGACAATGGCAGACATGTCAGAAGAGGGTGCTGGGGATGAGAATGAAGGACATTCCACTCGTGCCATCATGCCAGCCGGCATTAGGGCTCCCACTGCTGCGTCTCTAGGACAACAGAAAACCAAACCTTTCATGAGTTGCCAGTTTCATGCTATACAATCCATGAAATGGGAAACAGGGGAGGTTCTTGCTGAAGATAGTCTCACTCTTGCAGAAAACATTAAGAAAGTTATGGAAAAACATGAAATATTATTAACATGTATTCATCAACTAAAAGCTGAAATGTTTATCTGGGATATTATTTATTTGAATAAGCACACTGCAGATAGGAGTAAAAGTACCAAACATAAAAATTAAAATAAAATAACCCTTAGACAAGCTCTTGAGCCACTGTTAGATCCTGAAGGATCTACTTCAATAACACGTAGTTTATATTTAATGAATGCTTGCACTGTACCAAGAGGCTTACCAAGACAGTTAAGAACTGAATGTTCCCTCAAGCAATTCAATCTGGCTTTGTTCTAAAGCTAAGGACACAGTATCTATTTCTATTTATCACTTTCCTTCTGTCATGATATATAACTAGAGGAGCAACTTACTTAGGTTGAGAAGACAGAAAATACTGGAAAACACACCACCATCAGAAATCCACGCTATTGAACGCACAAATGAAGAGGATAATGTTGTTGTTGTTGTCATGTGCCGTCGAGTCGCCTGCGACTCATAGCGACCCTATGTACAACAGCCCTAAACTCCGCTCTGTCCTGTGCCAATCGCACTGTCTCTGACACTCCCATCCCAATTATCCCAGTCACTGAATCAATCCACCTCCTAGAGGGCCTTCCTCTCCTGCGCTGTCCCTCCACCCTCCCAACCATGATGTCCCTCTCCAAGGACCGGTCTTTCCTCACAACATGCCCAAAGTATGTTAGACAGAGCCTCAGAATCCTTGTCTCCAAGGAGCCACCCGGTTTAACCCTTTCCAGGACAAATCTGTTTGTTTTCCTAGCAGTCCATGGTATTCTCAATACTCTTCTCCAGCACCACTGCTCAAAGGCATCAATTCTCCTTCTATCCTCCTTGGTCATTGTCCAACTCTCTGATGCATAACAGGTGATTGCGAGGACCATGGCCTGTATCAGATGCACCTTAGTCTCCAAAGAGATACCATTGCTCTTCAGTACTTTGGAGAGGTCCCTAACAGCAGACTTTCCCATGGCAATGTGCCTTTTAATTTCCTGGCTGCTGGTGCCAAGACTGTTGACTATGGAGCCAAGCAAACTAAAGCTGTGTATAATCTCAATCTCTTCACCATCCATCCTGATGCTGCCAATTGGTCCAGTGGTGAGAATCTTTGTCTTCTTGACATTGAGCCTCAATCCATATTGTAGGATGCAGTCCTTGACACTCTGCAGCAGGTGCTTCAGGTCCTCCTCAGTTTCAGCAAGCAGGGTTGTGTCATCCGCATAATGCAGGTTGTTGATAAATCGTTCACCAATCTTGACCCCACATTTCTCCTCATAGAGCCCCGCCTCCCGGATAATCTGTTCTGCAAATAGGTTGAAAAGGTATGGAGATAGGATGCATCCCGGCGTAGAGGATAATAGGTGTCTTAAAAATCCTTAAATAAAGTTGTTTTGTTGTTGATTGCCTTCAAGTTGAACACGACTCATAGTGACCCTATAAACAAAAGGCCTGAAGCCTTCCTATAAGTATTGACATTTATCAAAGTTCATAAGAGTTTCCAGAGGCATGTTGTTTAGGTAGTTGATGCCACTGCTGCTTCCTAAAATAAAGTACTACCAAGTAATTCTTTCTATTTCTCCAAAAACAATGAAACAAATCTTAACTTGGTTTTTCACAGATTTCATATTTCAATGCTCATTCAAAGAAACAGCATCATTCCTAACAAAGAATCACCAAAAACTCATAGTATTTAAAATCAGAATATTTTCTTGCAGATATCTGTTCAATCAAAAAAGTCAGAAAACTCAATATTTACATAACTGTGGAAATTCCAGAGTTGGCAAATAACCTACCTGGCATACATGATTTGCAATGCTGTGAGTATATGAGACAAGGCCTGCTGTTTTGCAAGATTTCCATCCAACGACAAAAGAATCTTGGTTAGAGAAGGTCGGTTTGGTTTACAATTATTTGCACCACTGACTTTATTACTGGAAGCAGAGGAATCAGTATCTGAATGTACACCTAAAAGAGCAAAAAAAATTGATTCTATTTTAAAAATCAAAATTTTCTTTATTTTTAAAGTGTGTCCTTTCAGTTACATCCAAAACACTTACTGTTTTTCTGTTATTACAGAATAAGGATAACATATCAATGGCTTTTTTAATGAGAACGGCTGTGTTGTTATTGTAGGCTGTTGAGGTGGAACCAACTCACAGCTGATCCAACCCTATCAGTGGGTTTTCAGAGGCAGTACATCACACAGGAGGAGACTGCCCATCTTTCTCTCATGGAACAGTTGGTGGATTTAAACCATGTGCCTTTGAGTTTGTAGCTTCTTACTAGTCCCTCAGAGCTTTATCTTATACTTCTAGAAAGATGCTATTTTCAGTAAAACTTCACTGAAATTACAAGAAAATCAAGAGGCTCTGACAAAATATATCTACTACAGTGTAAGCCATATACATACAAAGTGTGAAAATGCCACTGTAACTCTATTTTACTTACTCTTGAAACATGACCCAAAAAATCTAACATGGTAAATAATTTTTATTAGATATGCCCCAGCTCACAACCCTGAGAGAATTTCAAGGTCAGGGTAAAAGTAAAATGATGTAGAAAGCAGCAAAGAGTGTCAAAGAGGTAAGTATGACAACGAGTCCACAGGTAAGAGTCAGAGAAAAGAATGCTCTCTGGATTGAGACCCTGAAATCTACAGATGTCTCCCTTCCAGCTTATTGCCATCAAAGATCCAGGAAATGAACATGAGAGAAAACTGCCTCAAACAAAGTCAAAGGAAGAAATCATGAAATTAGAGGCAATTAGTACTCAATGAGCATGAAGGGTCCTGCCTGATCCAACTAGCCAGACTCTTATTCATAGAATTTCTCATAATTCACAGGACAATTAGAAGGGTTTATCTCAATAGAGAATAATTGGAACTAGAATACTATAGGTTTCCATCATCCATCTGTCAGTTTGTCATTCTTTAATAGAATGCATGTTGCTATGAGCCAGGAAACTCTTCCATCAATACTGCAAACACCACTATGATATTCTATAACTAGCTGTGAACCACCTAATAACCAAACTAAGCCTAAGTTTACATACTAATCTGTAGTGAAGAATTTCACATGTGTTTCACTATTTCTTTGATTTTTGTACATACTAAAAACTAAATTATATTTAGGGTTTCCAAACAACTTCAGCAAAGGCTGAAGAAGAAGAAAAGACCAAAATGGATTTCAGATGAGACTCTGACTATTGCATTAGAGCACCGAGAAGCCAAGGCTAAAAGAAGGAATGAAGAAATCAAAGAGTTGAACAAAAAATTTCAAAAGGCAGCTCGGGATGACAAAGCAAGATACTATAATGAAATGTGCAGAGAGTTTGAGTCAGAAAATCAAAAGGGCCAAACTCTCTCAGCTTTTCTTAAGCTGAAGGAATTGAAAAACAAATTCAAGCCATGGCTGGCAATACTTAAAGATAAAAAGGGTAGAATGCTAAATGATACAGGAATTATCAAAAGAAGATGGAAGGAGTACAGAGTCACTGTATCAGAAGAAACTGGCTGACAGAGGAATTTCATGAAATAACAAAGAGCAAGAGCCTATGGTGATGAAGGAGGAATTTCAAGTTGCTCTCAACGAATTGGCAAAAAACAACGCTCCAGAAGTTGACAGCATACCAATTGATTTATTTCAACAAACAGACGCTGCCCTGGATGTGCTCACTAAGTTGTGCCAAGAAATCTGGAGGAAAGCCTGGAAGAGATCGATATTTGTTCCCATTCCAAAGAAAGGTGACCCAATAGAGTGTGGAAATTATCAAACAATATCATTGATATCATGCAAGCAAGATTCTGCTGAAAATTATCCAAAAACATTTGAAATAACATGTCAACAGAGAACTGCCAGATGTGTAGGCTGGATTTAGAAGAGGTCGTTGGGCTGTACAAGGAGGAATGTGGCATCAGGATTGGTGGAAGTCATCAACAATCTGCGCTATGTGGATGACACAAACCTGCTTGCTGAAACTGAGGAGGACCTGAAGGACTTGCTGTAGAAAGTCAAGGACTGCAGTCTTCTATATGGATTGAAGCTCAACATCAAGAAAACAAAGATTCTTACCACTAGGCCAATTGGCAGCATCAGTATGGATGGTGAAGAGATTGAGATAGTTAACAGTTTTCGTTTACTGGGTTCCACAGTCAACACTCACAGTAGCCAGCAAATTAGGAGACGCATTGCATTGGGAAAGTCAACTGTCAGGGACGTCTCAAGAACACTGAAGAGCAACAATGTCGGGCTGGAGACTAAAGTGTGCCTGATCCAGGATATAGTCTTTGCAATTACGTGCTATGCATCAAAGAGCTGGATAGTGAATAGGGATGACAGAAAGAGAACTGATGCCCTTGAGCTGTGGTGCTGGAGAAGAGTGTTGAATATACCATGGACTGCTAGGAGAACAAACAGGTTTGTCCTGGAGAGGGTGAAGCCAGAATGCTTCTTGGAGTCAAGGATTCTGAAGCTTCGTCTGACATACTTTGGGCATGTTGCAAGGAGGGACTGATCCTTGGGGAGGGACAGCATGTCTGGGAGAGTGGAGGCACGGCGCAGGAGGGGAAGACCCTCGATGAGATGGATCGATTCTATGAGTGGAGTGTTGGGAATGAGTGTGTTTGAGATGGCAAGGTTGACACAGGATAGAATGGCTTTTAGGGCTCTTGTACATATAGGGTCGCTATGAGTCGCAAGTGACTCGATGGCACATAACAACAACAACAACAACAATGTTCCTGACTTGGCTGTAAGAATTAAATCTACACACACAGTAAATCATAAAACTGAACATCAAAATTTAAAAAAAAAACAAAACAAAAAACAACCAACTAAACATCAAGTTAGCTGTACTTTGAATATGTTACAAAATGGGGAGTCCATGAACTGGAAATCTTAGAATAGACAAGAATAAGAAATAATAATCCATAGCCATTAAGTTGATTCTGACTCAGGGAGATCCTCTATCCCGTTTCAAGATGGTGATCTTAATGTGAGTAAATTGCCTCATTTTTTTATTTTGCAGAGCTACTGGTAGATTCAAACTTTCAGTATTTTGGTTGGCAGTCCAACATTAATGCACTATGCTAACAAGGCTCCTTCTGTTACGAAGAATCTTTATATGTATACATGAACAGCTCTACGAATTAATTTGATCATAAACAGAAAAAAATCAGCTTCATACTTTGTTAAAAAATTTTCATCCAGTATGCATGGATCACATCACAATGCAATATAACTTTTCCATGGAGAGCTAGTGACATTAAACAGACGAAATATTATCATGTGGAGAAAAATCACAAAATGAAAACCTGTGTTACCTAAATAGGAAGCACCTAAAGAGTCTCTTGCAGTTTGGAAAAGAACTGGTTCATGAACCGAGGGCGTTGCTACATCGACAGTTGTCCAGGCCACACTGTGAGAAGAACCACAGGCCACGCGTGTGATTTTCTGCCCTTCCAAGCCTTGCACAAGTGTAGGCTTTCTATTGACTGTGGTTGTGCCATTGCCTTGTTGTCCATGGTCATTATCACCCCAAGCATATACCTATTGTTTAAAAAAAAAATCGTAATTTTTCAGTCTTCCAGTATACATTTTCTTTAAATCTACTTCAAAATGCTATTAAGTATGTACTTAGGCACGTGGAAGAATTTAATTCTTAAAGGGCAAGAGAAAACCATTTACAAATCTTAATAAAAAAAGGCATCTGGCGAGCTATGGTGGCCTAGTGGCAAGAAGCTGCAACTACAATCTCAGAGATGCATGGTTCGAATCCACCAGATGCTCTGCTGGAGAAGGAGGAACAATCTCCTCCTGTACCATTCAGATCTGATTTGACGGTACACACAAAAAATAATGAAATAAAAAAAAATTTTTTTAAAGGCATCTATGTGCAGGTAGTCTCTTGGTTATGCATGTCCAACATGTGGAAAACTATTTCCTTTTATTGCTAAAACTGCCACTCATTGCCATCAAATCAAAACCAACTCACAGATGACCCTACAAGCAGATTTATAGAAGCTATAGATCACACAGGAGGAGACTGACCATCTTTCTCCCATGGGAACAGCTGGTGGATTCAAGCCACCTCTCCTTGGGTTGCTAGAGAAACTCCTGACCCACTAAAGCACCAGAACTCTCTAGATGTCATGTAAATTTCTCACTTTTGAAACAAATTAACAAATTCCTGCTTGAACAAATTCTTCATCACAATCATCATCACCTACTGCATGTGAGGCATTTAAACTACTGAAAAGGCTTTAAGCCTTTCTCACACTAAACGAAAAACCCAACCCAAACCAACCCATGACTGCTGAGTAGATTTCAACCTCTCATCAGGGACTGTAAATCATTATAGGTGGAGACAACCTCTCTTTCTCTTAAAAAGTGGCTGGTAGATCTGAACTACTGATCTTTTTAGTCAGCAACCTAACAGGTTATGAATGACACTACCAGAGCTACTTTCTCTTGTACTAAAGTTAAGCTAAGAAAGAACTGTATGGACCTGTCACAGTGTACCTACAAATATTTAAAACTCATTCCTACCCCAAGGACTGTCAATAATTCTGAGGAAAATGTCGAAGATTATGAGGATGGTACAAGATAGGAGTCAAATCTGCTGTTCACAGGGTAACCAAGAGTCATACTTGACTCAATGGCACCTAACACCAACAACTTAAAATCCAGCCAGTTAATTAATCTGCTCTAACTTGTTCTAGAAAGCAGGGAAGACTCTATTTTTACTTAAATGAATTAATTTCCCTTTTCTCTTTATCGTAAAAAGAAAATGCTCAAAATAATGGGCGTATGTTTCAAGTAATTTGCTTCTTAATGTTACAGAATTATAAGATATAATTGATTTTCATTTGCTTTAAAAATTACTGTGCTAATTTTGGTGTTATAATAAACTTTAGAAAAACACCATTTGTAAGTCTAATATACATTTATAAGTCAAATATGCACTTGAAGAATAAGAATTAATAAAATCTCTCTAGTACAACTCCTTGATGGCCATCCATCTTCTAATATAAATTACTGTTCTCACATTACTAAAAAAAAAGGGAACCATTAAAAGAAAAAAATTCATGTTTCCACATAGACTTTCAAGTCAACTACTTATAGTGGACAATTTCACTATTTCCCAACATCCATTCATTAATAAATATGAAAGTGCATTCCCACTATACCCTTGCCTTGCGCTGACAAAAAAAATCTTAGTAAACATCTCATTGCCATGCTTTCATATACTAACAATGACCTTCATTAAAATGAGCATCCGGCGAGCTCTGGTGGCCTAGTGGCAAGAAGCTGCAGCTGCAATCTCAGAGATGCATGGTTCGAATCCACCAGATGCTCTGCTGGAGAAGGAGGAACAATCTCCTCCTGTACCAGTCAGATATAATTTGACGGTACACACAAAAAATAATTACAAAAAATAAATAAATAAAAATAAAATAAAAAACATAAATAAAAATAAAATAAAATAGAATGAGCATCCAGTTTCTCCTCAACCTCGCCAGCATTTGTTGCTGCTGTTCTGTTAAATTTTGCTATTCTGACTGGGGTGAGATGACATCTCATAGTTGTTTTGATTTGCATCTCTCTTAGAGCTACGGATTTTGAAAATTTCTTCATGTGCTTGTTGGCCATCTGAATGTCTTCTTTGGTGAAGTGTCTGTTCATATCTTGTGTTCATATGAGGTTTGTGGTAAGACTGAGAAAAACTGGAGATTGTGTACCAGGGAGGGAGTGTTTCTTTTACTTTTGAAAGAGAGGAGCGAACTGGGGAGGGGGCGGTCTGGGAGGGGAGAGAAGTGCAGCAATGAATGAATGGAAATCCAAAATCTCTGTAAATGTTCATTAAAATTATTTTTTTGAAAAATAAAAAACAAACAACAAAAAACCATACAATTAAAATCTTGGATTTTCAAACTCTGAGGTAAAAATAGTTACAATTAACATTGTCATGGGAAATGTCTTCCCATTACATTTACAAGAACCTTACAATAATGGACATATATTTATATTCTCTTGTTCTTTGTATAATTGTCCTACATTTTACTTCTGCATATGTAATAAATATACCACATTGTTATTAAAAAAAAGAAAAAAAGAATGAGCATCCACAACAAAGAGCCCACATTGCCACAGGCGGCCAAAGCTTACCTGCCCCACGTCAGTGACAGCAAGGCAATGCAGGGCACCAACTGCCACATGCATGATCTTCTTCCCTCTCAGGCCTTCCACCACCTGTGGCTTTCGTACATGGACATCAGAGCCATGACCCAGCCTGAAGTAATCCCCTTTCCCCCTATAAGGAGGCCAACAGTGTAAATGTCAATATGCTACACATTCAAGTTTTAATATGGCAATGCTACATAATAAAGCATGGTTTTCTAGCTTTTAAAGTATGATCGTTAAAACTGTTATACAATCATGTATCATTAATTCAAATCAATCACTTAATTTTGCAGGCAGGACACTTCCTAAGGGAATATATGTTTTATGATATGCATGTTACTGTTTCACATATAAAGAGATTAAAAGCATGTAAAACAATCTCAAATGCCTCAAACATATCTGGTAAATTCCCTTCAAAGCTGCCTTTGTTACAATGATCAAAATCAGTATTTTCAAGTTATTCCATTCCTTTAGTAAAGGAAGCTTTCACAACAAGCACAAATGCATATTTCTCAGAATTACAGAAATCAGAACTTGGATTTTCTTCATTTTTTCCCTCGCCTTTGGCATAGTTAAGAAACTTTCTAAATAAACTTTATCCAAATAGGAAAGAAATACAGTTTAAATCTTTTTGGAGTTCTTTTCAAAAGGAACCAGAAATAATTGGATACTTCTTCCTGTAATACTGTCACTAATTCCAACTCATGTCTCTATCAAAAAGTTAAAGATATCAGGCTGAATAAGAAATGAAGGCACAGCAATCCAGTGGAGAGAAGATGGGGTACAAGAGCAAAGTTGACAAGCAAATGACACCCACAACCACAAAGCATGTACTAGAGAAAACAGGGAATTTTACCTACCATGTCCACACCACTCCTGACTTTGTAAGAGCCAAAGAAAACTGCGCACCACACTCAATCTGGCAAACTCCCTGTCCATTCAGTCGTTCAATGTTCTGGGGAATGTTACAGCCTTCACTTCCTCCTCGGCCCAATTTTCCAAAGTCACCATCACCCCAAGAAAATACCAGACCTAGATTTAAAAATAATATTCAGGCAAGTGTGTCTTAATATTCCTGCCTACAAAGCAGCACAAAATCCCAGTCACAGCTCACCTTCATCAGTCAAAGCTAGAGTCTGTGCATCTCTACTCCCACACGCGACCTGGATTACTCTGTGACCAAGGAGGACTTTTACCTACTCAAATGCAAATTTAAAACCAGAATCAAGCTCAGTAACAGAGAAAGTGAAACATGATCTGTCTACAGGAGGAAGTAAAAATGCTCATGTCTTTATGAACTGTCTTAGATTTTAAGCATATCTTCTCTTGAAATCACCAGATCTTAAAGCTTTCTATAAGCAACATAATCACCATTTTGGGCTTGAGTTGAGTGGTATTATCTCCATGCCCCAGCCGGCCATATTCTCCAAGACCCCATGTATACAGCTCTCCACTGGATGTAATGGCTGCACTGTGAGAGCTCCCACAGGCGATGTCTCGGATGCGTTTTGTTTTCAGGGCCTCAATCAGCCTGGGCTTATCACAGTTCCTATGGCAAAACGAAATAATCCTTTCCTAAACCAATCCACTCTTTTCAAAGGGATAAAAAAAAAGTCATCTGAATTTAGTCAAAACAACTACAGATAAGCGCTTAAAACAGAACATGAGACCAAATCATATTAAGTGACATTTAAAAATGTTAAGATTCATTTTACATAATCTACCCCATTTTAAGTTTCTGAAAATCATAAAGAATACACTCTTATTATTAACTTATTAAAAGATAAAATATTCTTACATTCTGCTAAAATGTCCAAGTTTTCCATCATCACCTTCACCCCAGGAAAAGACTTTGCCATCCACAGTTAAAGCCGTTGCATGCCGGCCACCTATAACATTCACAAAGAATGGGTTCCTAAAAATTGGTTACAAAAGGTATGCAGTGTAAGTACCTATTGTGCCTGGGAAAAACTATGTACTCAATGATTAAGTACTGAAAAAACAATTATTTAGAATTGACAGATGAAAAGTTCTCTGGGAAGTATGAAAGCATTTTTTACAAGTATGCAAAATGTGTTCAAGTGTATTAAATTATAAATTTTAAATCCTGGAAATAATTTTACATGCAAAGAAGTACAACAATAAAATAACATGTATTAATGAGATTCTGGTAAGGTTAAATATGTAAAAAGCTAAAATTAAAATAAAAAAAGCAAAAATAGGTTTACCTGTGATTAGAAAAATTACGAAACACAAAGACATTAAACTCCCGAGACATGCACTCAATAGCAGAATTACTTAAGAAAGAGCATCATCATTTGTACTTAATGCATCTTATCATTCTTCCTAAAACACACGTGGCTCACCCTTCCCCCAGGATGGAATAATTTCCCAGTATGTTCTTCTCCTTGGTTCACGATTAAGGAATACTGTCTTTACCAGCACAACTTCTCTTGATACATCTAGGTTAAACAAGGTTCCCAATCCAGCAAACATCTGCCCTCGCTCATCCTTACCAACAAAGCCCACATTTTAACTGCTTCCTGTTAACTAGTCCATAAAGAGCTGCACTGCTAGCCCAAGGGAGGCATCTCTCTGATAGTTTGAATCCACCAGTAAGACCTCAAGAGAAAAATGTACAATCTCCTTCCAAGAAATGTACAGTCTTGGATAATACACTGGAAAATAAAAAATGAGTCAGTATCAACTCCAAGGCAAGGAGAGAGTTGTAACTGTAAGATAGAAAAGATCCTTGGAGGACTAGGACAAATACTTTAGAATGATGGCTGTTAAGTTGAGTGATGTTAACCTTTCAATGAAAAGATACACAGGTCCTCACCAACATAGTGCTGTTCTACTAGTCCTAAACTTTTTAACGTAAGGCCTTTACATGAGAAGATAAAATTCTGTATCATGTGTGTCACTGCTGTTTGGAAATTCTGACATATGAGAGTTAAACATAATCCTACTCAAAACAAGCAGAAATCAAATTTTGTATCTATGCTCTGCTTCACAAAGGTCTATCCCAATCTTTAGAAATAATTCACACCACAACAAGATAAAGGTAAACAACCCAATTGCAAAATGGGCACAAGATATGAATAGACACTTCACCAAAGAAGACATTCAGATGGCACACAAACACATGAAGAAATGTTCAAAATACTTACCTTTAAGACAGATGCAAATCAAAATAACTATGAGATATCATCTCAACCCAGTAAGAATAGCAAAATTCAAGAGAGCAGCAAACAAAAAATGCTGGCAAGGTTGTGGAGAAATTGGAACCCTTATTCACGGTTGGTGGGAGTATAAAATGGTATAACCACTATGGAAGGTAGTATGGTGCTTTCTCAAAAAGGTGCAAATAGAAATATAATTTGACCCAGCAATTCCACTACTGGGAATATACCCTTAAGAAACCAGAACTGCTACCCAAGCAGATATATGCACATCTATGTTTACTGCTTTGTTCATAATAGCAAAGAGTTAGAAACAACCCAAGTGCTCCTCAACAAAAGAATGGATAGAGAAAACTGTGGTATTATTCACACAATGGGATATTATGAAGCAGTGAAAAACAAAGAACTCATGAAATATTATAAAAAATGGGTGACCATGGCGGACATTATATTGAGTGACATATCTCAGTCACAAAAAGATAAATACTGTATAACGCTACTGCTATGGAACAGAATTGATAAGGGTGTTGGGGAAAATTAAGAAAAGAGGGGATAAATAACATGTACAGCACTGAAACAGAGGAGGGAGAGAACTATATAAAAGGAATATATGACCCAGCACCAAGAGCGAAGCTCAATCGGGCAGCAAACGACAAATGCTGGGGAGGTTGTGGAGAGACTGCTGGTGGGAATGTAGGAGGGTACAACCACTACGGGCCAGCACTTTCTTAAAAAGAAACAGAAATACCATCTGACCCTGCAATTCCACTACTAGGAAACCTAAGGAAACCAGACCCACGACTCACACCGATGTACTCACAGTCATGTTTACTGCTGCACCATTCAAAGAGATGCAAGGAACTCAGGTGTCCATAAACACATGAAAGGACAGAAAAACTATAATGTGTTCACACAACAGAATACTATGCAACAATGAAAAATAATGAACACATAAAATATTATATAACATCCTGGAAAACATTATGCTGAGTGAAATATTTCAGTCACTTGAAAGGACAAACACAGCTGCTATAAAACAGGACAGACATGCAGGAGTAGGGGAGAGAATGGGAAGAGTGAACAGATAATGAATACTGCATCAGAACAGATGAGGGGAAGAAGTATCTGAAAGGATTATGTGATTAGGCATTATATGTACAACAACAATCTGGAACAAGGAGTACATTGTGGAGTGGGCTTGGAGAAGAGGGAGAAAATGTGCAACAATGAAAAAAAAAATCTAAAAAGATTTCCTTTACTTGGATCTACAATCACTCCCATGGATGGAGCAGTCAAAAAAATCAAAGATGAAGACCTGGGCAATCTGTAAAAAAAGCCCTCCTGAAAGGGTTAAAAAAAAGCAAAGACATCCCCTTGAAGACTAACGTATCCCTGAACAAAGCCATGGAATTGTCAACTGCCTCATATGCATGAGAAACTGAAAAATGGAAGATAAAGAATTGATGCTTTGAATGATAGTGTCGGTGAAGAATACGAGATACAGAGGGAACCTTAGAAGGTCTTGAAAGTGCATTGAGAATGTCAGGTAGGAGTGAGAAATGAAGATGAGGTGGCTTCCTCTCACTTACTCTGGACATGTTACCAGGAGGGACTAGTCCCTGGAGAAGAACAACACGTTTGGTAGTGGGCCAACAAAATAAAGAGAAAAACCCTCAATGAGACAGCCTGACAGCACCTACAGCCAGAGGCTCCAGCGCCTATGAGGACGGCACAGGACTGGGCAGAGCTGTGTTCAGTTATACACACGGTGGCTGCAATGTGGATCCACTTCAACAGTGCCCAACAACGTGCAAAGATGTTCTAGCATGCCACTTCAGTTTGCTTTGTGCATATTTTTTAAATTTGCCCTTGTGGAAAGTTCTAATTAATTTTGCTGGTGTTATTTCATTGTATAAACATATCAATTTTACTTCCTTGGATGGAGATTTTTCCCCTAATAAAGAGGAAAATGCCAAGTTAAAAAAAAAAAAAGGAATATATGATTAGGTATTATTGGCATGACAAGAATCCAGAATAAGAGTTGCATATTAAAGTGGTGTGGAGGGGGACTATATAACAATGAAAGAGCTTTTTCCCGGAAAAAAAAAAAAAGCAAAGTGGGGGGCAGGGAGGATGGGAGGAAGATGTGCAACAATGAATGAAAAATCCAAGTTCTTTATAAACGTTCATTAAAATCTAAAAAAAAAATAAAAAATTCAATAAAGGCTCACAAAATTGAAGGAATGAAACTTTTTAGTCTGTTTTTCAGAACTGGGGTTCAAAAACACTGTTAGGAAAAACAGTGTATATTTAAACACAGAACTCTACCTATGATTTCAAAGATGTGGGATAGGCCCACATACTTGAAATGATAATAACTGCTGGTCTCAAAAAAGGCTAGTTTACTTCTGATAATTAAATTTTACAACACTCTAGATATTTACATACTCCGATTTTTATTCTAATACAGAAAAACTTACAGAAGAATTCAAGATCCATATAAAATTTCAGGATTTTAGTTACAAGCAGAGCAGACTCTTGGGAACACACGCAGTACAGGACAGGCTCTGCGCTCATACCTGAGTGCACAGCCACTTTTTTCACCACGTAGCTGCTGAGAGCCGTGATCTGCCGTGGGATGGGCACAGTTCCACTGGAGAGGCCTAGCCCCAGCCGTCCGTTGGTGGCTTCTCCACAGGCATAGACCTTGCCTTCTACAGTCACTGTAAGAACAAATGTAGGTAAAGGATTCACCTTTAAATCAAACTAACTATATTTTGATGGTAAACATAATTAAACATTTAACAATTATTAACAGAATCATACCTGCAAACAAGCTTTTAGAACCTCCAGCCACCTGTACTACATTCAAAGCAGACAAGGTCTCTGAGAATGAAGGAACCTTTATCTAAAACAGGATTAAGAAAAAAAATTACTATTTCATTAACAATTTAAAAGTCATAAGTAATTATTTACTTACTTACTCATTGACATTGAATTGGGATTTGTTCATAATTGATTACAGCTTCATAAACACCCTCCACTAAGTAAATTTAGAGGAAAATGCTCATCATCTTTCTTGGCTTAAGAGGATCCAGCTCTCCAAAGACTAATACTACCAGAGCTCCCTGATATAACCTGCCTAGACAACACAGTGAAATGCAAGAAAGCAGAAATGCAACCAGACTCACTCATACAAGTTTTCTGCCTTGGACAAGGCACACTCTTACCACTTTGCTATCACTTAGTTTAGTGTAAAATAGCCTTTTCCCCCCTTATCTGAAATAACTGTCTTACACAGACACCATCTATTAAAGTCTTCATTATACAATTACAGTTAATTTGAAAGATTCTATCAACAAGTCCTACTCACTGTCATGGAGCTGATGCTGAATTACAGTGACCCTGAGTCAGATTTCTGAGACTTATCTTTATGAGAGGAAATCATCCATCCAAACCAATAAACTTCCAGTTAGCACTTTAACATAATAAAGTAGGCTATAGGTGTTCTTCATGTTCTTGATCCTTAAGAGATATTTAAGAATGAAATAATAATCTGAAATGCACCTTAAAATAAACTACATGGCAGATAAAATTCTGCACTGTCTTGCAGTCAGTGCAGATTCACCACGCTGAACCTCCACTAAGTTTCTAAGTCTGTAAAGTCTTAATAAAAGGAAACTGATCATCTTTGCCTTAAAGCACCTGGTGGATCTGAACTGCTGTTCTTTCAGTGAACAGCATAATACACCAAACACTATACCACCACAGCATTTTCAAGAGAGAACCAACTTATGAATAAAAATCAATGAGAGTAATAATAGGGATGTAAGACTGTAACAGTCCAGAATAAGAAGTGCATAGCAAAGTGGACTGAGGGAGAGGCGAGGGTAGGTAGGGAGGAAATTATGCAAAAATGAATAAATATTTTTTAAAAAATGAACTGGTGGGGGAATAGAGAGGAAAGTGTGCAACAATGAATGAATGAAAAAATAACACATCTCTGTAAACTTTCATTAAAATCACAATAAAAACAACTTTTTAAAAGAAGAATCTACTCCTATTTTTATACTTGTGAATGAAGATTTTGGTAATAAAAGGCTAAGATAAAAATACAAATAAATATCTGAGAGAATTCTAAATTATTAACAAATTCTAAATAAGTCCTTAGTATCTTAATAGTATCTCTTAGTGTACAATGCACGAATGGTCAAAATAGTTTTCCTAGTGACTACATTTAACTTCTACCACAAGAGGGTTCCTGTTATTGCTAGGTACAAACAAATCAAGTTTAACTCATAGTCACGCTATAAACAAGAGATCTGAACTCTAACATATCCTATGCCATAAGTGTCATGTGACATACCTGAATGCACTGCTGCAGTCATGTTGTCAGATACAGCTCATTGAGCGCTTTCTCTTTCATTCACCTGGGCCCTTCATAGCATGTTTACCCTTTTCAAAGTGGAGTGGGTCCTAAAAAAATGCCCATTCTTGCCTCTTCAAGGAACACTTTGTACTTTCACCAAGACCTATCTGTTCTTTTTGTAGTCAGTGTAATATTGAAAACTCTTCTCCACAACACAGCTGAAAGGTATTGGTTATTCTTATCATCCTTCTATAATATCCAGGTCTCAGTTGTATAACAAGTCAAAAGATGACCTCACAAGGTCAGGTCATGAAAACACCATGACCTGAATCAGGTGAAAATAAGTTTTTAAACTGATAACATTGCTCCACAGTACTTTTGGATAAGTCCCTGAGAGCAAACTTTTCCGATGCAATAAGTGTTTGGATTTTTCACCTGCCCTTAACTGAAGGTGTTGGCTATGGATCCAAAAAAGATGGTATGGTTGAAAATGTCAATCTTTTATCCATTAATTATTATGTTGCCTACTGGTCTAGAGTTAAGGACCTTAGTTCCTTGATGCTGAGAGTAATACATCTTGAAGGCGTTGTTGTGTGCCATGGAGTTGCCTGTTACTAATAGTGACGCAATGTACAACAGACCTAAACCCTGCTCTATACTGTGCCATTCTTACTGTCTAAGATGCACCTACCCCCATTAACCCAGTCACTGAATCATTCCATCTCACTGAGGGTCTTCCGCTCTTGTGCTGTCCCTCTAGCCAACTAAGCATGACATCCCTTTCCAAGGACTGGTCCCGCCTTCCAACATGTCCAAAGTATGTTAGATGAAGCTTCAGAATTCTTGCCTACAAGGATCAGCCTGACTTCACCCAGTCAAGGATGGGCCTGTTTGTTCTCCTAGCAACCCATGGTATATATTCAATACTCTTCTTCAGCACCACAGCTCAAAGGCATCAATTCTGCTCCTATCATCCCTAGTCATTATCCACCAATCCCATGCAAAGACTATTGCCTGAAACAGGTGGACATTAGTCTCCAGACTGGTATCGCAGTTCAGAAGACTTTTCCAATGCAATGTCTTTTAATTTCCTGGCTGCTGGTACCAAGAGTATTGATTGTAGAGTCAAGCAAACTGAAGCTTTTATTCATCTCAATCTACTAAACTATCATAATTCTGCCAATCATCCCAGTGATGAGAATCTTTTTTCTCTTGATGTTGAGCTTTTATTCATATTGAAGACAACAGTCTTTGACCTCCTGTAGCAAGTCCATCAGGTCCTCCCCAGTTTCAGCAAGCAGGGTGGGTCACCTGCATAAAACAGATTGAAGACTCTAATCTTTGATTTTCTGCAGAAAACACTCCCATTCCTCTTCATTCTCAGCAAGCAAGGGTGTGTCATATCCCTAAGTCTGATTGTTAATGATCTTCCTCCAATTCCAATGTTACATTCTTTTACAGAGTCCAGCTTCTTGAATGATTTTCTCAGAATATAGAATGAACAGATATGGAAAAAGAATTTAACACTGACACACACCTTTCTTGATTTTAAACCATGCAGAGTACAGATGGATTTCACCTAACGGTATGCACAGGAATCAGATCGATTACATCTGCAGAAAAAACTGCTTGAGAAGCTCAATATCAGCTGTGAAAACAAGGCCAGGAGCTGATTATGGAACAGACCACCAACTACTCATAAGCAAGTTCAAGCTGAAGCTGAGGAAAATTAAACCGAATCCACAGGAGCCAAAATATGACTTTGATTTCATCCACCGGAATTTCAGAATCATCTCAGGAAAAGGTTTGAGGCCTTGAACACTAATGAGCAAAGACCAGATGAGTTATGGGAGGATGTCAAATGTATCATCCAGGAAGACTGCAAATGATCATTACAAAGACAGAAGAGGAAGAAAAGACCAAAATGGATGTCAGAAGAAACTCTGAAGATGCACTGGAGCGTAGAGAAGCCAAAGGACAAGGAAGAATACTAATGAGCTGAACAGAAGATTCCAAAAGGCAGCAAGACAGGACAAAGTAAAATATTACAATGAAACGTGCGAAGAGCTAGAGTCGGAAAATCAAATGGGCAGAACTCATTCAGCATTTCTTAAGCGCAAGGAACTGAAGAACAAATTCAAACCTAGAGTTGCTATAATCAAGGATGCTTTAGGCAGAATATTAAATGATCCAGGAAGTATT